CATATATATAAGATTAAATAATATTTCTCGATGAATGTTCTATATTCTCTGAATACCTTCAGGAAGAGATGTGAATTTTTAGGGTAAAACAACGATGACGTATCGATTCCTTGAGAAAGAAGAAACACCGAAGCCAACCATCGCAATCGATTATTCTTTCGGGCGTAAAGCCGGGAAGAGCTTAGTAAGCTTTCCTTTTCCCTACATTTTATGATCACACGTGAACTAAGTATTGAATTACTTACCATCAATTTTATTACATTGATTGATTTACCTTATTTACAATAGACTAGTAAAAAAAATCATTATTGACAATAATTTACAAAATATTGTAATAATTTACAATGGTTTGCAGAACATGGAATTCGTCATTGTTTTTCCGTTTTCTTTTCTTGTCGATACAGATAAAAAATATTGTACATGTTTGGGAAGTGGGACACTTAACGTCTTCGTTAGTATCCGCCGCAATGACGGGCGCGTCTTTAACTCATTCGCCTCATCATCTCACGATATTAATGATGTTGGATTTGTCGCAACCAGAAATTTTATGGTCTTCATTCGAGGAAGCTCTGTCGGTGATTCGAAGCGCGATGAAAATGAGTTACGACGATAAAATGATACAGGAACTTAGGCATCGTCGAGCTACAGAACGAAAGAGAGCGTTAGAAAAGGAAGTTGATCCTTTTCCGATAAAACTTTGCATTGTAGGTGGGAAATACGACAAATTTAAGGTATCATGTCAAATTATCCCTTAAAATATTTGTATATTAATGGAATAAAAAGCTCGGTTAATTCTGTAATAGGATTTAGATCTAAATACAAAGGAATTAATGGGAAAAACTTTAAGAGCTACGGCTCATATCTTAGGGGCAGGTCTCTATTATCACTCATCGAAAGATAAGACCATAGTGCGGAGAACCAAAGACATATTATCTTATTATGGATTTGGCACTCAACTTTCGTAAGGTTTTTTTAGATACCGAGACATTTGAAATGTCTTTATTTTTAAAAATAGAACTGTACAATTGCAATCATATTTTCTTTCCACGGTATAATTCAGCGGTGGAAAGTGTATAGATTTCGAGAAGCCATTAATTGTGTCGCCTGGCACAGATTCATTTTCCTCAATCGATTTGCAATTTCCTCAGACGAGGCCTTCGGCCATCTTAGATGCCATCAAACAGATTTATATTACTCGTATACCGCAAGTGTCCAGAAGCAGTGATATTACCTTGGAAGATCCAAGCAATGATCCTAACTTCAATGAGCCAATTATTGATAGATTACGAGCACAAAGAGAAGAGGTGATTTTAATTCATCAACTTGATTTGTATTTTTTTAGAGGGAATGATGGATTCATATTTCATACTCAAAAATGTTCTCCACCCTTAGCGTCTCGTACGATATTATTAGTTGAACGGATTTTCCATTTACGATTTGCTTGTAGGAAATTGGTATTCTGCTTCACAATATGCTGGAAGGTCGAACACCTCAAATTCCCATTCCGGATCCGTCATAGATTACGGTTAGATAACATTATTCTGCTATATGGATTTATCGCGAATTCTTCTCACGTGCTTGATCCTGTCGAGATTGGAAGAAACTTTCAAATGGATAGCACCACCCTATCAGTTTTATACTACATATACTTTGCAAAAAATTTGCAAAAATGTAGGCGGGCTATGTATAAATATAATTATGCGACAATAAAGTTTTTTAGAAGTATTTGTTTTCTTTAGAACATTATCCCCTTATTTTAAGATTCATAATTCGTAACTCCCAACTCAGAAGAGGCGCACTACAGCTTGCAATGGCAACAACGATAAGAAGGCCTGTGATAAAGCTTATTTATCAGAAGGCAAGAAGAATTATGTCATACGACACAATCGCGTACAATTCAGCGTGTACTAGTTCCTTCGTATTCATATAGAAACTAGCATATGCCAATTTTTAGTAATTATTAAAATTTTACTTGTGTCTGTATATTTATCAATAAAGGTTTAATCAAATATATTGAAACGTTTGTTTTATTTTATTCGGAATTGGAAAGAGAAATATTATTAGTAATTGTAAGTTCGCCAGTAGCACTATGCGCTGATGTTCATTGTCTTACCGTATCGTTTGTATGCAATTTAGTCTCTGTTTCTTTATCAGAACTGTTATTAGATATATATTCTTATCAAAATTGAAAAACGATCGTGAGACTTTAGGCAATTGTAATATTCAGAAATTGTGGGTATTATTCGTTGGTAACTTTTTTCAGTAAATTGGCAAAATATTTTAATGTTATCTATTCGTTCACCTTAACAGACTAACAAGGGCGAATACTTAGACCAGGTGCTTCAATTATCTTATCCACGTGGCTCATTTTGATTGTATCGGCAAACAAATGTTTACTTTTAAAATTAATAAATTATATTTTATTGATTCATTTGATCTGTTCTAATAAGTATTAGGCTATTCTTAAAATATTGCAAATTTAATATTTTAATGAAATTAAATAAATTTTGGTTTAATGATTCTGTTTTTATACAGTTTTCTATATTATTAAAATTAATGCAGATAACTTAGATGTTCAGAACGAATGAAATAACTTATGTAGACATTTTTTCCAATTTTTAGTGCTAAATTTTTGAAGAAAAAACTTGATACTGGCTCTGTATTTTACGTGGTGTCCAATTTGCAAAAATGTAGTCCTTGTAATATTATACTGTCTCATAAATTATAACAATTACATATCTTTCAATATTCAGTCAACAATTGTTATAGAGTTCATTAAATACAAACTTGAAAACCGTTAATTATAAAGAGTATACAAATATCTGTTATGGAGAAATTAGTATAGGTATCTATAACTGTGTCTTTTTCGACTGATGCTTAAAGGACGCGTTTGCATTAGACATTAAATCCCAACGGTAAAAATTTTGTAAATGACATTAGAGAAAACTCAAAAATATGTTGCAGATAAAAGACACATATCATAAAAACGCAAAAATAGAATATTATCTTTAATCTTACCAGTTTTCATAAAATAATTCAGAAGCAATAAATATTAAAAAGGATCAAGCAATAATTGACGCATAAAATCACTAACAGCACTTTGTGACTCGCGGAAATATTTTACTCTCTCGATTAAAAGTAAAATCTGTATCGCAGAGTTCATTAACGCGTAGCACAATTATATTTTCTCCTATATTCTACTTTTCAAAATAAATGTAAAAAGTAACTTAAGAAATTCACGCATAACTAGTATTTCGCTTGCTCCAAAAATGCTTTAAAAGGGTCCCAATATTTACAATATTTAAAAAAAACCATTTATAAAGATCAAAATAAAATAACATTCTCCCAAAAGCATTCAAACAGCTTCCCATCTCAGCCAGACAATTCCATTATCCATTCAAACTCAATTTCCTGAAAAACCGAAAACGGGGGATCAATTCCGCTTCTGGATTCGTGTTCGGGGCAACTGCGCGAGGATCATCCGGCGGATATCGCGGATCAAAATTCGTGCGGCACGGTGTTATCGGACCGTCACGGTAACCCGAGGTGGTTGGTACCCCACCGATCGGTCCTGACTGGTCGCCGATGGGGCGCAGGCGTTTCGTCCGGCCCTCTTTAAAGGGCAAAAGTAGCGATGTGTTGCGGCACCGTGACAGCGGATCTCCCTTGTTTCCAGCGGCAGAGAGCGGAGCGGTGCGCTGATAAGAGCGTCGTGTCGGCAGCGAAAACGGTGACGCTTGCGCGCTACGGAGCGTCGCGCTTGCGCTCGAGCTACGGGTCGCCCCCGATACACGGATAGTCAGAGTCGAGCGTTTACGAAAACGAGATCCGGCTGGGGGGTTTTCCGCTTGGTCGCGGGCCTCTCGCTTTCTGGCCTCGGTTTCCTCAGTGAAAATGCCGCTGTGATAGAGAGGCACCGCGCGTGTCGTGTGCTCTACCCGGGCTCTTGGTCGCGCCGCAATCGAACACCCGTGTCCGACTGTCCACGCGAATTTTCTGCACCGCGGTACCTTTACGCTTTGCGGTTCCACCGATCCGCCGCGACTCTTTCCGTTATCACACCTCCTCGCCTTCCTCCTTCTCCACCTCCTCTTCCTCCCCTCCCCACCCTCTCTTGTCCTAGTAATCCCGTCTCGTTCTCGCCCTCCGCGATACGCGCGTTTTCTTTTCTTAATCTCAGCCGGGAAGTGATTTTTCAACGCGTCCTCGGGTCCCGTTGATTCAACGAGTCAGAAGCGTACCTGATACCGGAAGTCGGCGACGCCGGGAGTTTCGTAACCATCCCCTAAAACTGGAGAGCTGCGCCGGCTGCTAATCGAATAGGTGAGTCGTTAAATCGCATCAACGGAATATGCGCGTGTTTGCGCTAGCATGTGCGTGCATGTGCGTGTGCGATTCGTGTGGTTGTACCATTCGATTCACCTGTCACCGTGATCGAATCGATAAAAACAGGATCGCACGATACGCCGTTCTCGCCACGACCAACATCGTATATCGCGGTGATCGTGGACTGCCCCCTCCTGCGGCCGCTTCTCGCGGTTATCGATTCCGGTGTGAACGCGCCCTCCCTGGACAGTTATCCGGTCGTCCTTCTTGCGCGCATCTTCGACGGCGGGATCGAGTTCTTTGAACGATCAATATACTATCGGGCCAGCGCGTGAATACGCGTCCCCGCGTCGTATTTTATGCCGTGCGAACGCGCGACGGGAGACAGAGCGTCGGTCACCCTGTCCGCCGTGGACGCGTGTCCCTTTTGCCGCCGTGCCGTGGCTGTTACTGCGCTGACCGGGAGCTAAAGGTAATGAGCGACGCAAAAGAAATTGTGCGGAATGACAACGCTCCGCCACCGATCGAATCGGAAATGTCCGTTTGATGTATGCGCGCTCGCCGATTCGTCGCCGCGTACGCACGGGACAGACACCGTTGCTGGCGTATCGTGTGACTCGGCGAATTGTTCGGTGACAGGTCGATTTCATTGTTTCATTAAACTGTTTACGGTCTCGGATGGCAAAGTTCGCGTTCGAACCTGCTTCATACTTCATTTCGACTTGTCTGATGAAACGAGGTGCACGTACTTTTTGAATTTCTTGCGCCACTTGTTCGATTTAGGAATTGCGCGTAAATGTCATTTTCGTCTTGTGGAGAGTGTATTTTACCGCGTCATCGCGAAGTGTTAGAATTTTCGGCAGGTTCTCGTAAGCAAAGGCTTTCGAAGTATCGATTGCCGATACACGCGAATGTGAGAGAGTTTCAAACAGATTTCTCCTTTAGTCTACGCTCAATAGCTTTCTTCGTGGACTTGTAGTCTACCGCCTTAATCCTATCCACCTTAATTTATCAAAGGCAAATTTCTGTTTCCAAGATGTAATCGACTACACCGTTTCACTTCGAACAATAACGAGTATTACCGTTTCTCGCGCGATTTATGTAAGAATTGTAAAGTTTCTCAGTTTCCGCTTTCACTCGCAGCAGTCGCCCCGCAAGGATATCCCTGGGCAAATCTTCGTCGCTGAAGCAATTAAGTAAACTTTCGTCTCTATTAATGGGGAACGGTGTTCCTTTGTTAGTCGAAACCTCTCCTCTACTTACATCTATTTATCTATTAACGACTGGGCGGGGAGAACGCGTCTTCTCCGGCCCAATTCCTTCGTCTACAGCTTCGGCGCAACAATTACCGAAGTTGCAACGGATTCACCTCCGTTCAGATTGGAACGAGTGCGAATCCGCTTTCAGGGATTTCCTTTCATCGTCCACTTTCTGATCGACGATCACTGGGCAACCTTGATTTCGCGGAGGAAAGAAGAAGAGTGTGTTATTCGATCGTGACGTCAGGCTTCCCACGCGTACGTATCGGATCGTCGGGATATTTCGTTTTGTAGTCCATCGATCGGAGCAGGTAAAGGCGACCAACAGGTTTGCACCTGTATACGCGCGAACACGAAGCTAAGAAATCCGAGCGTGTTCGTGTGACCGGGTCTCGCGAACCGGCAATCGTGTGCCGAGTAGGTACGTACCTGGCAGAGTCAGGTCGCCGGGACGCCAATGCAGCACTCGATTAGACGGCCAACAACGATATTCCATGTTATCGAAGTTATTCACGAACAAAACTTACGTCGACAGATTTGAGCTACTTTTTGATCAAACGAGTGAACTTTATTTTTCGAATTTTTTGAAATTTTATTGTCAATGCGCTCGATTGATTCCTAACCTTTTCTAGCTGAAACAAATTTCTCCACTGTTGGGTTTAGTTTCACGAGAATACAAAAATTCTTTTGGTCATGTTAAATTATAATAATGATAAAAATTATTAGTAAGATATACTACTTTATGCATTTCACATGGTTGTTAGATTAAGACTATACGTGTAATAATCGAGTGAAATATATTATACAATGTTTATTTAATCTTTCATTTAAAGGGAAATATGAAAAGTCAGTGTAAACTATTACATCATTTTTCTCTGCTTTCCTTTCTGTGGAGCTAACCGATTTGACGATTGAGTGACATTTATCCGGCCAGTCTGTAAACTGGCTTGGCAAGGCTCATCGATTGCTCGGGTTATTCGTAAGAAAAATAGCATGTGACTGAGATCCTTACACGACCAAGCATCGATTGAATCGGATACGTAGTCACGAGCTGGATGAATAAGAGCGACGTGATATTATACTCTCCGTGTGCCGCGAAAATTATTCAGAAATGAAGTAATCAATTCTGGAACTGTTCAATATACTTTCTTTTATCGGTCGTGTGCATGCGTGCGCGCAGTTGTATGATTACAATAATCATCGAAATGTAACGTTCATTAAAATAGATTTGTTGTTTTCATTTTTTATTGAAGAAT